GGTTCGATTCCCCGCACCCACATGGCGGCTACAAACTGTCCTTAACTCCAGTTCCAGGAGAATACGAAGCCCTCTTCTGACCTCCACGACATGCACGACACGAGTGCACTCACATACATGCAGGTAATACATAAAATAAAAAATAATAATAAATAAAATATTTAAAAATAAATAAAAAAAAGGTAAATAATAGTCCCTACTCTCAAGGAGATCATATTCTCACAGTAACATAAAGTGTTAAAATAAGTGGGTAAAATAAAAGCGTAAAGGACAGAGAATACTCTTTGCATATATTGAAAGAGTATCCCCCCCAAAAAAAGAGTGTGTATTGATCTCACTGGGCGTGGTGGCGCATGCCTCTTTAGTCCCAGCACTTGGGAGGCAGAGGCAGGCAGATCTTTGTGAGTTTGGATCTTTGTTAGTTCGAGGCCAGCCTGGTCTACATGAGGTCTAAGACAGCTGGGGCTACAAAGAGACTCTCTCAAAAAACAACAACAACAAAAAGAGTGTGTATTGTTCTTGCAGAGAACCCAAGTTTGGATCCCAGTGGCCACATCAGGCAGTTCACAAGGGAGGCTCTGGACTCCAAAAAGGGCTCCTGCACTCACACGTGCACATATCCCTCTCCAGAAACACACATAATTAAAAATAAAATAATCTTTAATAAATAAATACAAATTAAAATAATAAAGAACTTGAACTTGAAGCACAAAGAAAATTAGGCAACTTGCTTACAATTACAAGTTAGCTAGGTATGGTGGTACACACCTGTAATCCCAGCATTGGGGAGGCAAAGGCACATGGGTTTCTGTGAGTTTTAGGCCAACCAGGTCTACATAGTCAGACCCTGTCTCTAAATCAGTCAACCAACCAACCAACCAACCAACCAACAAGTTAAACAGAAGAGAAAGATGTGAGCTCTAGTTGGCTGCTTTTGTAGAGTAAAATTCATGGCTTCTTAGATTTTGTCCTAGTTCCTGACACCACGATCATGGAAGGACAGTCAGTGACTTAACACATGACCTTTCAAAACCTTACATAATCTAGGTTCTACTCAATCTCTAAGCCTGAGTTCTCACTTATTAAAACTAAAGACTACTAAAGCAAAGACATTAAAATTCTTAGCACAAACAAGTGACAGTTACTAGTATCATCTAATAATGAAATACAGAAGTTGAGAGCAATCTCTGTAAAGCTCTTTTGTTTTTTTCTTTTCTTCCATATCATTTCCATTTGAAAAAGACAGTCACATCTAGAGCCTATAGTAAGAACTTATCAGGAAGCTGAGGCAAGAGCACTGTTAGCCTAGGAGTTCAAGTTTAGCCAAGGCGACACAGTGAAAGCACTTGTCAAAACAAAAACCCAGAGGCTAGGGGGCTGGAGAGATGGCTCAGCAGTTAAGAACACTGGTTGTTCTTGCAGGAGACCAGGGTTCAAATCCCAGCACCCACATGGCAGCTAACAACTGTCCATAACTCTAACTCCAGGGAATCTGACAACCTCTTCTGTCCTCTGCAAGCACTGCACGACACGGGTGCATTTACCTACACGCATACATAAAATAAAAATAATAAAAAAATAAAAAATAAACTAGAGGCTAGAGAGATGGCTCAGCAGCTAAGAACACTGGCTGCTCTTGCAGAAGACCTGGGTTCAATTCCCAGCACTCACATGGTGACTAACTACTATCCGTAACTCTAGTTTCAGGGAATCAGACACCATCTTCTGACCTCCACAGGAATTGCATGACATGGGTGCACCTACCTACAGACTGACATGACAGTGATACACATACAAAAATAAAATAGCCAGGCATGGTGGCACACACCCTTAATCCCAGCACTTGAGCAGCAGAGGCAGGTGGATCTCTCTGAGTTTGAGGCCAGCCTGGTCTACATAGTGAGTTCCAGACCAGCTGAGGCTACAGGGAGATCCTGTCTCCAAAAGACAAAAAAATAAACAATAAAAATAAAGTAAATAAATTATGAAAAAACCCTAGGAGCTTGCCAGATGGTTTAATGGGTAAAGGTGCTTGCTACCAAGTCTAAAGACCTATGTTTGATTCAGGAACCCACATGGTGATGGAGAGAATCAACTCCCACAAACTGTCCAGTCTACATGTATACCCTGGCCCACTAGTATTCTTAGAGGTATGCATGTGTGCACACATGCACAATAAACAAATGTTTTTTTAAAAAAAGGAAATTCTGACACCTTACAACATGAATGAACAGTGGCAACATTGTGATAAGGGAAATAAGATAGATACAAAAGGATAAATGATTCCACCTATACAACACACCCAGAACGGTCAACTTCATACAAACAGGTCTCCATCTATGCTTAAATAAAACCATCAACAGACTGAATGAATGAATTCCAGAACATTCTGAGTGGGTGCTATGATATGCTGATAAGGACAAGAGCTACAGATAAAACACAGGTGTAGAAAACATGGTTTTTGAGTCAGGAGCAATAAATCTAGTGAAAGACACATATAATACATAGTACTGTCTATATGTTGGTACTATATGAATTGTATAAAATACTATTAAGATGGAGCTGGAGAGATGCCTTAGCAGTTAAAAGCACTTCTTGATCTTCCACAAGACCTGAGTGTACTTCCCAGCACCTATGTTAGCAGCTCACAACCATCTGTAACTCCTGCTTTGGAGGATCTGACCTCTTCTGACCTCTTTGGACACCTATATACACATGGCATGCATTCACACAAACGCACACACACACACACACACACACACAGATATAAATCTTTAAAAAAACAAATAATATAGGACTAGATAGCTAGCTCAGCAGTTAAGAGCACTTGCTGCTCTTGCAGAGGACCTGAGTTCAGTTACCAACACCCACATTGAGCCACAATGTCCTGTTTTGGATTCTGCAGGACTCTATACACGCCCCCGTGCACATGCCCACACACAGACACACAGACACACACACACACAGAGACATATTTAAAAACAAAAATAAGGGGTTGGAGAGATGGCTAGGTGGTTAAGAGCACTGGCTACTCTTGTAGAGAACCCCAGTTCAGTTCCTAGCACCCACATGGAGGATAACAACTGTCCTTAACTCCGATGCTCTCTTCTGGCCTCCAAAAGCATTGCATGACATGAGTGTACTTACATATTGGCAGGCTAAACACTCATACACATAAAATAAAAATTAGTTTTTTAAAGCAAATAATAATTTTTTTTAATTTTTATTTTATTTATTTATTATTTTTTTTTATGTGTATAGAGTATATTGCCTGCATGTATGTGAGTGCACCCCTGTTGTGCAATGATACAGAGGTCAGAAGAGGGCTTCAGATTCCCCTGGAACTGGAGTTAAGGACAGTTCATAGCCACCATGTGGGTGCTGGGAATCGAAACTGGGTCCTCTGCAAGAGCTGTCAGTGCTCTCAACCGCTGAGCCATCTCTCCAATGCCGCAAAAAATAAGTCTTAAAAAGAAAAAAATAAAGCTGGGCATGGTGGTGCATGCCTTTAATCCCAACACTTGGGAGGCAGAAGCAGGTGAATCTCTGTGAGTTCAAGGCCAGCCTGGTCTACATATTGAGCTCCAGGCCAGCTGTGTCTACAAGGAGATTCTGTCTCAAACAAACAAACAAACAAACAAACAAAAAAGTTTACTGATATAAATAATACTTTCCCCAGAACTTAAAATAACTGAGGTAGCTGGGCGATCAACTGTGTAGTGGATTAACACTTTGGCTTTATGGGACAGCCACCAGGATTAACCTAGGATCTGTAAACATCAGAATAGGGAAGGTTCTGTCCAGTTCTGGAGTCCTAGGTACCCAAAAAAAAAAAAAAAAAAAAAAAAAAACTGAGGCTACAAAATGAGATTCATGGATGGATGGAAAATGAAGACGACTATCATGGAAAAGAAAATTAGGGTCCATTTGCAGGAAGCTGTAAGTGCCAGGGTAGGGAGTTTAGATTTTATTTCAAAGAAAGAAAAGAAAAATAATCAAAATTACTCATTAGAAATATTTATAGAACAGCAGTGTAAAGAAGAGTAGGAGCAGCAAAGATGTAAAGGTGATCACATAATAGACAAAATAAGGAAGTAATACAGCTGAATGACTACAATGATGGTAGTGAATATAAAGGCATAAAGAAAGTGATTAAGTTAAGCTAGGCTTCCTACCACAGGGATCCTAAGCTGACACCATTCTTTCTTAACATTCAACAAAGTTGGAACAAGGGCTTTTTCTCCTTCCTTTCTACAATGTGAGCTCCATGAAAAGAGACAGTGTTAAACTCTTACTGCAATATTCCTTGGCACATTTTATTAAATTTATTTTTGGTTTTTGTTGTAAATTGTTTTTTGCAGTACTGTGAACAGTACCCAAACCCTTGCATAGGCTAGGAAAACAAAGTACAATGAGCAAGCTATATTCATGAGCCTCAAATAATTTTTTTAAAATTATTTTTATTTGCATGAGTGTTTTCCCTGCATATATGTAAGTGCACGATGTACATGAATGCCTGAGGAGGCCAGAAGAAGGCATCAGATCCCCTGGAACTGGAGTTACAGATGGTTGTTAGCCACCATGTGGATGCTGGGAACTGAATCTAGGTCCCCTGTAAGAGCAGCCAGTGCTCGTAACTACTGAGCCATCTCTCCAGACTCCCTCAACTAACTTCTAATGAGTGTAAAATATACTCTTCTCTAAACAACAGATTTGAACCAAGTAGGAATCAATCTCTAAACCTGTCTACAAACCAAATTTTCTGACCTAATATATATGAGCCAGTATCAGGTGCACATAGTATTATAATCTATAGCCATTGATGGTTGCCTTTAAATAAATCCGCTTTTCATTCTAATTTCAGAAGCAAGCCATTTACCATTGTCTAAAATCTTGCCATATTAAACTTACATAGTAAATAACTCATAAAGCTTGAAATACATTGAGTCAAAAGTACAAAATATTTTAAAACTTCATGCACAAAAACAGTCTTACAATACCTTAGGGGGATTAAATGGATATGTTTCTGGTATTTTTATCTCTAGTTGATATCTTCCTCCTAAAAAATGGAAAAAGCAAAGTTAAGAATGCTGCTCAATTCAAATACCTGAAGTCACATACACTGATAGAACTTTTCAAAACACCTACCATTTTGTATCAAATGCTAACAAAGTTGAAATTTCAAAATAAAATAATGAAAGCCATAGTTTTTAAAGACTGTTTAAAGCATAAAGAATATCCATTTTATATACTTATTTTAGTTTAATAGTAATAGAGCTAGAAAGACATTAAATCCATAGACAATCCAATTCAAATATTTCATTAGGGACATTAATAGTAGTGTAAGGTTCAGTAATCTTCGTTTCCTCTAGTCTACTATGGTAGGAGTTGCTAACAAAATAATAGAAAGGGTTTTTTTTTGTTTTTTTTTTTAAAGTCAAGAATTCAGGCTGGAGAGATGGCTCAGCAGAGGTGCTCAGTTCCCAGTACTGTGCTGGAAGGCTCACAACCACCTGAAACTCCAGCTCTGGGGCATCAACACTGTCTTCTAGCCTCCATAGGCATAGGCACTACACTCATGTGCACATATCCCCCACCACCAAACACAATTAAAAATAAAATTAAAAAAAAAAAAGGTCAAGAATTATAAAAGCATAGATGGCACAGAGACAAAGGACATAGATGATATCATGAACAAAAGGAGCAATGTTTTAGTTGGTTCTCTCAAACAAAAAGTCTGAATCTCTCCATTTTGCCCCTAAGCAGGGCATGGTGGCACAAGCCTAAATCCCAGCACATGAAAAATGAAGCTAGGAGGACCAGGAGTTCAAAGCAGCTTGGCTCCATATCAAGTTCAAGGCTTGGGCCACAGAAGACCTTGTCTCAAACACAAGATAGGAAAAAAAAAAAAAAAAAAAATCAAGGTGTGCCCCTAAATTAGACGTCAATGCTTTTTGCTAAAAATTTCAAAAACAAGCTGGGCATGGTGGCGCACACCTTTAATCCCAGCACTCCAGAGAGGCAGAAGCAGGTGGATCTCTGTGAGTTCAAGGCCAGCATGGTCTACATAGTGAGTTGCAGGACAGCTGGGGCTACAGGGAGATCCTGTCTCAAAAAGACCCCCCCCCCTAAAAAAAAATCAAAAAATAAAGCAAAGAACAGGCATAAAGACACAACATTACTCTCTTTCAGAACTTTACAAAAAATTTATTCTACAATATTATGTATAAAAAGAAAACAATATTTGGTTTTGTTCTGAAGTTATCTTGAGCAACCAGTAGCTAAACAGGCATCAATAAAACTTTAGGTTCCCCATAACTGAGGTATTAATCAAAGTAAAAATGCTTTCTTCTCAATAAATTCTGATGGGGAAAGTTTTGCAATGGATGATAGGCTGGATGAAAATACTGCCTCTAAACTGAGTGTGGTAGCAGATTCCTGTAACCGCAGTACACTGGAGGGGGAGCCTAAAGGTTCAGGAATTCAAAGCCAGGCTCAACTACGTAAGAATTCAAGGCCAGCCTGAGACCATGTCTCAAACAACCCCCTTCCAGAAAAAATTCTAACTCTAATGAACCTCCCCGGGTCTAGATTTCATGACTCATATAGAAGATTCATTATTTAAAAATCATAGAAAATAAACTTGTGCTACTGAAATGTTTACATATGAAACCAAAGGCTTCTGCTTTATAATAATCAAGGAATGAACTAAAGTTCTGTTATTAAAGCTGACAGATAAGCATATGGAGGTCTCATTACAATCTTCCTTCATATGCATCTGAAATGTTCTGTAATAAAAGTATCATAACAATAACCATGGTATTGGCATTATTTTCATCACACACTTAACTCTCTTGAAAAACTTAAGTGGGGGACTATCCTCAGTTTATCCTGAATCCTTTTCAAATCTACTTCTCTCCACAGCTATCAATGAATGCATGTGGATATCAGAAAAAGAAAGCATTTCATTTGGTACCAGGTTCTTCAAGCATTATTTTCCCTCAGACAAAGTGTCACTACATAGGCCAGGCTGGCTTCAAACCTGCAATTCTCCTGTCTCAGCTTTTCAAGAGCTGAGACTGCAGGGATGTGCCATCATGCACCAGCCTTTAAATGTTTTTTAATCCAAATTCTTGTCTTCTCACACTTTTTTCAGTAGAGTTCCTTTTATTAAATGATGTATGAGTTGAACAAGATGCCTGAATCAAAAACATAAGGTAAATATAAAGAAATGCATGCAGAGCCAGGTATGGTGGTGCATGCCTTTAGTTCCAGCACTTGGGAGACAGAGGCAGGTGAATCTCTGTGAGTTCAAGGCCAGCCTGATCTACATAGTGAGTTCCAGTTGGGGCTACAGGGAAAACCTGTCTTAAAAAGCAAGGGAGGGAAGAAGAAAGAAAGAAAGAAAGAAAGAAAGAAAGAAAGAAAGGAAGGAAGGAAGGAAGGAAGGAAGGAAGGAAGGAAGGAAGGAAGGAAGGAAAAATGCAGGCAGAGCAGAAGCAAAAAGAGGGAATAGAAGGGTAACGATGAAATTTTGTGAAGATAGAGATGACTGTTTATATTCAGAATTATAAATAACATCGCAAAATGCAGATATAATATATTTGGCTTGAGTAACACATAGATCCTTCTTTTTCTTTGTAATCAAAAGCGAGAGTGAAAGCATAGAATGTACTCCACAGAACAGGAGCAGGTTCCAGCAAGCACATGGCTGGTGAACTTATATAGGACCCTCTTCTTCCCTAAGAGTCTCTGTTTTCCTCATAAAATTTAAGATTGCCATCTTTATGATCTGTCATTCAAAGTTCTTCCTTCTTAAATGCCCAAAACAGTTTCTTAGAGCAGTTTGAGAGCTCAGAGATATTATATAAATACCGCTGGATTGTGGAGTCCTCAAAATCTTATTTCTACTCCATATTATACAGTCTGTTTCTTGCATTATTACCTGACAATTTCCAAAAGAAAACGACTGAAGGATTAGCCACACAACAGCTTCTTAATGGATAGGCTGAGGGGGTGTAATATTAAGTGATCTCATTTGTGCAAATATTATAGAACATAAAATGACAGCTCTGATGTCATGAGGCAATGTAATCTTTTATAAGCATTATATATAATGCTGCACTATAAAACATGTACCTCTTGAAGAACAGATTATTTTATATTTTATGTATGTTTTGGGTTGTTTTAGAGACAAGATCTTGCTCTGCTGCCCAGGCTGACCTTGAATTCTTGGGCTCAAGTAATTCTTCCACCTCACTCTCCCAAATAGTTGAACTATAGGCATAGCCCTCTACCTCCAACTTTAAGAATAGCTTACAGTATTAAACATTTATAAGTTTTTCTTTTATTTAATTTTTGAGGGGTGTGTTAAAACAGAGTCTCACTCTGTATCTTAGTCAGACCTGGAACTCAACTACGTAGCTTACGGTAGCCTTAAACTCACAAAAATCTTCCTCCTCAACCTCCCACATGCTAGGATTACAAAGCATGAGCCACCAAGCCTGGTGAAACATTTATGTACTTTAACTTCCTCCAAAGGGGAGAGGAAAGGGATGAGAATTGCTGAATTGCCCATTTAAAATATATAAATTTGAAAGAAATTTTAGGTTAAAAAAACAAGACAAAATAAAAACTAAATTATTGCTTTCCCACTGAGTTACTTAGGAAAAAGAAATGAAAAAAATTGAACACGTACTATGGCAATTTTCTACATGTATTCTACTTAGCAGTCTGGTTACTACATAAATGGATTAATGATAATTATAGTTTAATAGTCTACTTGTAATCTTTTGCCTTAACTTCAAAGTTTAGATCAAAACCAAAAATAAACAGGCTGGAAGATACAGCTCAGTATTAGAGCAACTGCCCAGGCAGCACAAGGTCCAGGATTCCCTAGCATGCCTATACTACCCCCCAAAAAGCAACAAAATGGGGGGAAGACACCTGCAAAAAATATCAAGACCTGGTGGTTCATGCCTTTAGTCCCAGCACTTAAAAACAGAGGCAAGCAGATATGTGAGTTGGAGGCCAGCCAGATCTACACAGTGAGACCCTGTCTCAAAAAAAAAAAAAAGCAAAGGGGAAATATTTGTAATAAACTATCAATCTTTCAATTACATTTAGAAAAAAAAAGTATTTTTGATTTTGAATGGCATTTACTTAAAACAAACGTTACTTCAACAGTTTTAGGATAAAGGAGAATTCAAGATAATCTACTTAAAGCATGTACCCCAAAATGTTACAATTAATCAAGTGTCTTACTTTAAAACAGCAATAGAAAATAAGTACTTACATAACTAAACTTATTTCTAACCAACAATATGGTATGTTTTTATCTTAATTACTCTAAAAACAAGTGTATATTGTCCAATTTTTTGTGTTGTTTGTTGTTTTGAGACAGGTCTCCCTGTAGCCTTAGCTGGCCTGGATCTCACATAGATCCACCTGCCTTTGCCTATTGAGTACTGGGATTAAAGGCATGCACCAGGATACCTGGCTTTCATTACAATTTTTTAAAAAAGTTCCACTGAGTTCAGGAATACCTTATTTATTATAAAAAATCTGCTG